CCCCAAAACCCCAAAACCCCAAAACCCCAAAACCCCGGAACGAAGTTTTGGAATTGAGAATATATTTAGCTAGAATTTAACTGACCACGGAATTATTCAGTATGAGTTTAGAAATTTTGATAAGTAAATGCGTAATAGTAAGATTTGAGAATTTTATTAGCAAGAAGGGACTAAAACTGCTATTCCTTATCTTCCTCTGAAATATTTTCCCCGATAGCCTGCTTAATATTGAGTTTGAGTCTCTTATTACTTTTAATCTGTCTCATAAGTTTGGCCATATCATCATTTTCCAAATCAAGGTCATCTTCGTCCTCTTTAAATTTTTTCCTAGATTTTCAAAATGAGAAAATTACAAGTTAAATCACTTACTTAATTACTGGTCTTTTAGAGTCAAGTACAGGGAAGTCACCTTCTTGGGCTTTTCTCATTTCTTCGATCATTCTTTCCTCTTCTTCGATATTTTCCTTCATGCCTTTAACACAGATAACTAGTCAGATTATGACACCTCAAAGAATGAGATATATCCACGGCGTTTCAGGAAGGATTCAGCTGAACACCCAACTAATGTAGATCTGGTTAGAAATAAGCGCAAATGCTCATGTGTAGCAAAATTCCTTGAACTCATTATAAGTGTCAAGTGACACCAAAATAGTGAACAGGTTTATCAACCCGTGATAGTCGTAAACTCCATATAGCAGCCAAGTGCCTATATAGTGATTTGTCGGATATATCAGCATCAATGCAAGGGTTATCGGCCATAAGAGGTACGCTAGCGCGTAATAGAATGTCAAATCGAGTTCTGAGATGGATACCTTGTCTATTACTCAGTAATATTCTGGAATGTCCTTCCTAAAATACAGTTTTGTGTAGAACCACAGACTGTGCAGACTGGCCATCAATGGAACTATGATCAAGAAGGGATGAGGCTGCTCCATTTTAAAAAATTACAAATACAATCAATTATAGAGATTTCTTTGGGGTTTTGGGGTTTTGGGGTTTTGGGGTTTTGGGG